AAAGGGCTGATCGATCTGCTATAGATTGCCCAGTTCTTGGATTTTTTGGTGGGATCTAGTCATCAGCGGCATCAAAATCAGGAAGAACTGGAGTATGGGGAAGAGTCCTAGAAAAGTTGGACTCTTTGTTTTTTATCTAATCTTGGGCGCCCAGGTATTGTTAGTTTTCTTTTGTCATTCTGAAGAGGGCAGTTAAGTTTCTAGATTTTTCTGAGCCTCCTAGAGTGATCGATTCACTCTTCTCTCTGTTGGGAGGCATGGGAAGGAGAGAGATTTCTCTCCAAATAGGGTTTTCTTCTTCCGAAAGGGTTGGTTTTTGTATGTGTGATATTGAATTGCTTTTGGAAGATCTCCAATCTATTTTTTCCTTTCTATTGAACTGTTTGAAGTAAGATGGAGAGTTGGAGTACCAAGGTGAAATCCACTGGTACCATGGGACTGGGCGTTGGAGGTAGTAGTGATATTTTTGGGTCTAGAATCATTACTACAATAAAACTTGATGGTACAAATTATTCAGAGTTACATCACTGGGGAGGAGAAGAAACCTTATACAGATTCTTCCCGATGGGTGCAAGAGAATTATATGGTAATGTCTTGGCTATGTAATTCTATGTTACCTCGTATTGGAAAAAATTTCCTATGGGCTAATACTGCTAAGGAGATTTGGGATGGAGTGACTGAAACCTACTCTCATAAGCAAAACGTAGCCAGAGCCTATCAGTTAAGGAATCAGGTGATTAGTATAAAACAGGGAGAAAAACCCCTTGCCATGTATTTCTCCATGCTAAAAACCCTTTGGTAGGAAATAAATCACTTAGAAACTGTGGTATGGGAAAGTGTAAATGATGCAACAACCTATCAAAAACTGGTAGAGAAAAATAGGGTTTTTGAGTTCTTGGCAGGGTTGAACCCTGAATTTGACATTGCTAGGCAGCATATTCTTTCTAGGGAGAGTGTGACACTCTCTCAAGCTTATGCCTTTGTTTCTGGAGAGAAGAGCAAGAGGAATGTCATGCTGAGACAACCTGGGATTGACCAGTCGACTATGGTTAGTACAACCAAACCTAAGTCAAATGGAGACAGGGGGAGCAGTGAGACTAGAAGGGAGGATAAGGACTTGGTGTGTGATTATTGTAAGAAGCCTAAGCATACCAGGGATACTTGTTGGAAGCTTCATCCAAATCTTATGCCTGCCCAAATAAGGAACAAGAAGGGAAATGCAAATGTGGCCACTACAGGAGACTCTTCGGCCCCTCTTTCCCAAACTGATTGGGAATCCATTGCAGTAGTAGTAGTGAGAACAGAATTGGAGAGGTTTGGACAGATTAGGAGTAAGAAAGATACAACTAGCTCTAGCCTTCCAGATGGACAACAAAGTGTAGGAGCCAACTACACCACTTCTTTTGCACATACAGGTAATTCATATGCAACTGCAAATCTTGCATCCACTTCAGATAAGGAGGGACCTCCCTGAATTATAGACTCAGGAGCATTTGAGCACATGACTAATGTTCCTACCCTTTTCAGTTCCTATCAGTTGTGCTCTAGTAGAGACAGACAGCAAATGGTTCACATATCCCCATTGTTGGGAAGGGGACAGTCAGAGTGACTAATGATATTACTTTATCTTTTGTCTTACATGTCCCTAGACTTCATACCAACCTACTTTCTATTAGTTCTTTGACAAAAAATTTGAATTGTTTAATGACCTTTCTTCCTGGTAATTGTGTTTTGCAGGATCTGTAGTCAAAGAAGATGATTGGGAGTGGTCGTGAGGTGAATGGAGTCTACCTTCTGGATGAGATTCCGAGACATCAGAGCCATCATGTTAGTAGCAGCAGTAGTAGTGGGTCAAAGTCAGTGAGCCAGATTATGCTTTGGCACAATCGCTTGGGACATATTTCTTTTAGTTCATTGAAGTTTCTTTTCCTAAAGTTATTTAAGTCTGTTCAGTTATCCACCTTAGAGTGTGAGAGTTGTCAGTTAGGAAAGCATTGTAGACATTCTTTTAGACCAAGTAATAAAAGAAGTACTTTTGCTTTTAATATTGTTCACACTGATGTATGGGGGCCATATCATATTACTTCCATGGGAGGAAATCGTTATTTTCTCTTGTTTGTGGATGATTATACACGGTATTCTTGGATATATTTGATGAGATCACGAGATGAGGTTCCTAACTTAGTATGACAGTTCCACCGAATGGTTCTCACACAATTTGGAATGAGAACTAAGACCTTTAGATCGGATAATGCCAGAGAGTATTTTGAGAAGGACCTGACCACATATTTCTTGGAGCATGGTATAATCTATCAGAGCAGTTGTACATATACACCGCAACAAAAATGGAGTAGCTGAGAGGAAAAACAGACACATTGTGGAGGTGGCAAGAAGTCTTATGGTGTGTGCTTCAGTTCATGTGCATTTTTTGGGAGATGCAGTTCTTACAACCATGCATTTGATTAACAGTGTTCCTTCACGGACTTTGGGGTTTAAGGTGCCATTTAGCCTTCTTTTTCCATATGGAGAAATATTTCACATACCTCTGAGGGTTTTTTGTTGTGTTTCCTTTGTTCACATTCTTGGCCCCTATCGCAAGAAATTGGATCCTAAGGCCAAGAAATGTGTTTTCCTTGGGTATGCTCAGAACCAAAAGGGGTATTGCTGTTATGATCATGTGTCGAGGAGCAGATTTGTCACTATGGATGTTACCTTTTTTGAATCCACCTTCTTCTTCTCGAGTGGTTCTCCTCAGGAGGAGAGTTTTGGGGAGGAGAACTTACAGTCTGTTCCTCTTCCTGTTTCTTTTGTGCCTCCATCAATTCCATCAGCACCTCCATCAGTTTCATTGCCTGAACCACTACGGGTAACCTCACAGAAATATCAGCATCGACAGACGATGGTTGACTCCACACATCCTCAACCCACACCACTCTCTATCAGTCCTTCTAAAGCTCCAGATTCAACAAATACATTTCCAGGTATTCCCCTTGAGCCTAAGCCTGTTATGTTTTCTAATGATAATGTTCTTATACCTAACACCATTGTTGCAGCTGATCCCACTGACCTTGATCTTCCATTGCACTTCGCAAAGGGAAGAGAAAGTGTACAACCCATTGCATTTCACACCATCTTTCCTACAGTGCCTTATCACCCTCCTACCGAGCTTTCCTTTCTTCCCTGGATTCTGTGTCTATACCCAGGAATGTTACTAAGGCTCTATCCAAAGCTGAGTTGAAAGCAGCCATGCAAGAAGAGATTGAAGCCTTGGTTAAAAACCAAACTTGGGAAATTGTTGATCTCCCTCCAGACAAGGAGACAGTCGGATGTAGATGGGTATTCACTGTAAAGTACAGGGCCGATGGCAAGATAGAGAGGTACAAGGCAAGGTTGGTAGCAAAAGGGTATCCTCAGACCTATGGTGTTGATTATCTAGAAACCTTTGCACCAGTAGCTAAGATGAGTTCAGTTCGTATTCTTTTATCTCTGGCAGCCACCTATTCATGGCCCTTGTTTCGGTTTGATGTTAAAAATGCATTCCTCAATGGTGATTTATAGGAGGTATATATGGACATTCCAGCAGTTTTTTATGAAAATGTTGGTAAAGGAAAGGTGTGCAAACTCAGAAAATCATTGTATGGCCTGGAACAAGCACCTAGGGCTTGGTTTGACAGGTTCAGAGGGGCACTTATCCGTTTTGGGTACACTCAAACCCAATCTGATCACACCCTCTTTATAGAGAGGAGAGATGCTCTGGTGTAAATTCTAATTGTGTATGTGGATGATATAGTGGTTACAGGAAATGATTTGGAGGAGATTGATGATCTCAAAAAATCATTGTAGCAAGAATTTGAGATCAAAGATCTTGGTAAGATCAAATACTTCCTAGGGATTAAAGTTGCAAGATCCAAGCATGGGATCTTCATCTCTCAAAGAAAGTATGTACTTGACCTACTACAGGAGACTGGGAAGCTGGGGACCAAACCAGCAGACACTCCTATTGATCCAAATCATAGAATTAATGTTGTGGATGGTGAGCTGGTAAAAAATGTGGGAAGATATCAAAGAATGGTGGGCCAACTACTATATTTGTGTATGAACAACCATCTATTTCCTATGCTATCAAGTATTGAGAGAATACTTGCATATTTGAAAAAGCACCTTGGCAGAGGGATTCTTTTCTCAAATCATGAAAATCTGAAGCTAGAATTCTATACAGATGCAGACTGGGCAGGGTGCTTAGATGGCAGGAGGTCTACATCAAGGGTGTGTACCTTTGTAGGTGGAAACTTGATCTCATGGAAGAGTAAGAAACAAGCGGTTGTGGCAAGGTCAAAGGCTAAGTATAGATCCATGGCTCATGGTGTCTCAAAACTTCTTTGGGTTAGATCTCTTTTGAGTGAGATTGGGTCAGAGGAACTTATGATGTTGTACTATGACAATCAGGCTGCAATCAATATTGCCCACAATCCAATTCAGCATGATAGGAAAAAGCACATTGAAGTTGACAGACACTTCATAAAAGAAAAAGTAACAACTGGAGAAGTCTACTTGCCTTATGTCTCTTCAGAGTTGCAGTTGGCTGATGTCCTCACTAATGGCAAAGAACAAGCTTGAACATGATCTATGCAAGTTGGGAATGTGTGACATTTACTCCCAACTTGAGGGGGAGTGTTGAAGATTAATCAATTTTGTGTTGTTTTATGAGTAGATGTTTTATATTAGTTGTTAGATAGGTGGTGGGGACCACAGTAGTTATGTGAGTCCAAATTTTATTATGTTTTTGAGTCTTGTATATGCGGTTTTATGTTATACCACCCTATAAGGGCATAGTTGTCTTTGTATTGCTCTTATATTTTTAGTATAAATAATAAGTGAAGGGGCAACCAGATTATTGCTCTCTTTTCTTTTCAATATCTCTTCTTCTCCTTCTCTCTTCAAGAAACTACTTTTTCTATTCGTATTTTTGAATTCAGCAGATTTTTACTAAATGGCACATGGGTGACTTATCTCAAGATGGTTCAAGGTCAACCTCAGTTTGGTTGACTCTGAAGCTTTGTCATTATCTGATTCTCAACTTAATCAAGGTTCTGGAAATTACACTTCGAAAAGAAATTAGATGGCATGCTACTAAGTATCCATTATGTGAACCGTAATTAACATTTACTCGTAAAGACCCATTAAGCTAATAATTGTTTTTCTTTTTCTTTAACACTAAGCTGGGAACGACCACACAAGCTCCTCATTGCCGCACAGGAAGGTGACCAATTAATCCAATCAAGTAAGGTGAGCAGAACCAGAAATAATCTAGCAAGAAAGTAGTTGACATAAATGTATAGCAGATGTAGTTCAGAAAGAGTACAATTCTTCAAGTAATGCCAGCCAGGGAGAGAATAATGTGCATCACATACAAACAATCAGCAGAAAAACCAATTTTTTATGCCAATCATGGAGAAAACAAATACATGCAGAAAAGTCACAATGTAAAAGGACAATTATAGAGAAAAGACATCATCAGCATTCCTTACTCATACCCTACGAGATGCACAATTAAAAGCAGGTTTGTTAAATCCATCATTAAACATCACTAGACCATTGTCACATGTTCAGAAATATATAAAGGGAGACAAGGAGGTGAAAAATATTATAAAATAAGAAAATGTAAAACTTAACACATATAGAATAATATAATATGCAAAGCAACATCAGCAATTCTAGAAAAAAAATCATTAACAAAATTTTTAATAGAAGAAAATTCTCTAAGCAAGATAATTACGTCTTTGCCAGGAGAGGTAAGAGTCGTCGCTGATGACTTGGATAATCAAGCAAAAGGATTTCAGGCCCATTTGGTGATACAGAGAAAGCACGTCTTGTCAACGAGTACCTTATAGCAATTGCTAAGCTAATCTGGAAATATAGTAAATACCACAATGTATTAATAACAAACTGAATTTGATATAAATGGTCAGCATCCTGGTGCTACTCCAAAAGAAAACTACATAAACATCCAACAAAAAATTGTTGGCAAAAAATCCTGTACCTTTGTTGAGTAAATAGAGCTGAGTGCAATGGTTACTCGACCAGATGTTAGTGGAGACAGAAAAGCAGCAAATCTCTGAAAGATAAACATGTAAAGCATTTGCTTACAGTCCATACATTCAATAGATGAGGAAAGTAAAACCTTCATCCTGAGAATCATTTCATTTTCTTTGGTGCATAAGACGAGGATAGACAGGAAAGAAGTCACCAAAATGGCTACACTAAATCAGAAAAATAAAGAAATTCACACCATCTAATATCCTTGGCAACAATCCTAGAGAGAGAAGGAGAATAGCAAAAGAAAGGAAGAATTTCAAAAGCCAATTCCACCTGATCTGGATCTTTTATTGCACTCAGATATTGTCCATCTTGAGAGACATCAGCAACAGAATTGAGCAAGTTCTCACGAGGGATCCGGACATTGTCAAACCTGAAAACAAGTTTTTGCAATACCATGTAAAAACAGAGCTTAAATATATAGAAAGTTGTCGTGCCCAATATGAACTGGTAAAAGCAGGGGACAAAGGGGGGTTAAAAATGATAATTTTACCATATTCTACCATTATCTACACCATTTAATCCAATTTTATGGCCACAATCAGCTATACGTATGTTTGGGCATATATTTCCGTTTGCATCTCTGATCTGGGTGATGAATGCATGAACCCCTTCACTTTTCCCATTTATATGGAGCTGTGAGAAAACTATTGTATATGTGGCATGCTACATATCATTACAAAAAAGATATTTCAGTACAAAATTGAAGGAACAGAAAACACAAAAGCAGGAAAATGTCTTTATAATCAAAATATTTCCTTACATTAGCGGCTCCTCCAATCCAGTACTTCTGAGCTGATTCACAAGGAGTGTTAATGACAAATTCTCCAGTACTAGTGTCATAAGTGGTGATGGTTTCAATCCCTCGAACCTGAAGAAATGGGCCAGGAAGCAAAGCAACCACTGAATTCTTTTGGTAGTAAAATAAAATTTAGTAAAATAAAAGAAAATTAAAAGAAAGGTGACCAAAAGTCACCCATGACCGTGAGGAGAAAAGAAAGATCCACTCCACCCACAATCCTACACTCCAGAATCTGAAACACTACCACAACTGAGAAAAAGCCCCCACATCAACTGATCCAACAAACCAGAAAACATAAATCCTACCCTCCCAATCCAACCTTACCACAGACACAGGGAATCTAACTTGAATAAACCCAAAACAAGACAGGTCCAGTCCATAGAGTATATCTCATGTATTATGAAATAAACTTGTGAACTTAAATAATTTAAGCATATAATAAAAGCATAGAAAGAGCTCATTTCAAGAAAATTATATGTGGAAATTTGGTAATAGTTGAAAACAAGAAACTTGTGATAAAATTAAGAACTTGATAGATTTTTTAAGAACTGAATAGATGGGGTAACATGTTTCTGATAAGGCCAAACTTTACATCACAGAAGAGGTGGGGTGCATCTGATAAAGCCAAATTTCAGATAAAGTTAACCCTTAATTCATAGCTTGAAACCCTACTACATACATTACTTCCATGGCCCAACTCAGTCATGGCAAAGCAACCCTTTATCACATAGCTTTCAGTATCCTTCAGCCACTTGTCGTGATGTCGCTTTGTTCCAAAGAATTGGATAGCACCACCCCTGAATCAGCAAGGAAAGAAACCACATAGTTAAAAACTTAAAATCCACCCTCTTTAAGACAGTAACCACACACACTACTAAAAAACATAATAATAGGCAGGATGACATAGGTTTCTGAACACACAGATTGCATCATTAGAATATATCAGTAAACTAGCATGATATTCCACAGAGATCCACAGCAGGAAGCTCGGTGATGAATAACAATTAGACAAAGGGTTTTCTTTTTGATAATTGAATAAATTTTATTAGATACCAAAGGTAAGAAGTACAAGCATCCCAAGGAGAGGCACGAGATGCTACCTCTCCAGAATATTCAGATACAGCTTTCCCTACTTACTAGAATAAGTTACAAAGATGCCCAAAAAGACCTTCCCTGGATACCCCTTGCTTGGCCAAAGAATCAGCCACAGTGTTTGCCGACCTGCTTACCCATTTAACATCCACTCTCATAGTTTTAGTCAGCCACTTCACTCTTTTGAGATCTCTATATCCCCATATGGCAGTGTTTGGATTTAACAGCAACCCTACTACCAGCTGAGAATCTCCTTCAATTAGAAGATGTTCCACTTCCACCCCAAGCTGGTTAGCAACCTGAATCCCTTGAACAGAAGCTAGTAACTCAGCTCTTGTAGAGTCTCCCACTCCCACCGGTCCTGAGAATAATGAGATAATGTTGTTGTCCTTATTCCTTAGCACACCCCCTACTCCCGAAGGCCCAGGATTACCTTGTCTGCTCCCGTCAAAGTTCAATTTAATGACACCTTCTGGGGGAGGTTCCCACTCTACCACACTTCTATTCTTTCTAGTGGAAGTGTTAGCCACTTCTAGCCAGTTTCTCCAAAGATCATTGAAAGAGAATTCAGCAAGCAGGGACAAGGCCTTCAACCAATGGATTACTCTAGTTAAGATACAGTCCTTCACTTCAGCCAAGCTTCTTTCCTTCTCTAGGAAGGTTCTAGCATTCCTTTCCTCCCAAACAGTCCATAGTATAGCTTCCCTGATACACTTCCACATGATTTTACCTCTTCTTGTGTGCCACCCAAAGGTAGATGGATTAAACAACATACTTACATCAGACAGTGGGTTCCACCTACACCCAAATAAACTAAAACTCCAACTCCATAAGGCTGTAGCAAAGGAGCACGAAATTAGTAGATGGAAACAGTTCTCATTCTGGGCCTTGCACAGGAAACACCAATTAGGGGAAAGGCATAGAAAAGGTCTCTTCTTTTGCAAGTTTACCAAAGTATTGATTCTCCCGTAGAAAACTTCCCAACAGAAAACAGCAATTTTGGGGGGAATAGGCCTTATCCAAACTTCTTTAATAGGGAACACCCAAGGGTTAAGGTTGGCCAAGAGGGATTTTAGAAAGAAAGCACAAGTGAAGGTTCCTTTTGGAAGGGGGGTCCTAACTCTTTGATCAAATTTAGTGGGGTCCAAACAAACCGATTCGAGTAAAAGAAGCAACTCAGAAACACAAACCAGCTCATCATCCCTTAAACCCCTACAAAAGCCAAAGTCCCAACTTAAAGACAAAGGAAGCATTGGACTAGGGAGAAACTCGGAAATTGGCTCATTTTTGTAAAGGGAGAGAAAGAAGAGAAAGGGGAAAAGATCCTTGAGAGGTTGGGTACCCACCCAAACATCCTCCCAAAAACAAATAGAAATGCCAGAGCAAGCTTCGTACCTGATAAACTTGAGGAAGCGAGGGAGAATACCATGTATAGCCTTCCAAGGTGTTTTGAGAGTCGCTCGATGAGATATCCCAGCATCCCAACCATTCTCTGAGCAGCAATGTATGCTTGACACCACCTCATTAATGCCATAATCTCTCTCTCTCTCTCTCTCTCTCTCTCTCTCGGCCATCTCCATAGCCACTTCCCTAAAAGAGCTTCATTCTTCTGAACTATGTTCCCTATCCCCAAGCTCCCTTCTTCTTTGCTTCTATTGACTATCTCCCATCTGATTAGATGATCATTCTTCGCCACTCCTGGTTTCCACAAGAAATCCCTCATTAGTTTTTCCAATTTCTTAGCCTCCCTTGGGGGATCCTAAAGACTAAGAGGAAGTAGGTTGGAAGGTTAGCAAGTGTTGCCCTAATCAAGGTTACTCTACTCCCTATAGAGATGTAATTCTTTTTCCAGGCCGTCAAACATTTGCCAAATTTCTCCACAATAAGGGACTAGAAACTACTCTCTTTAGGGTTTGCACCTAAGGGAAGCCCTAAGTATGTTAAAGACCAAGAAGAGATAGCACAACCTAAGCACACTACAATAGACTCTACCTCCCCACCCTCCAAGTTTATTCCAGCTACACTACTTTTATCAAGGTTTATCATCAAATTTGATGCATTCTCAAAATCCCTTATTAGATTCTTAAGATTTTCCACCTTCCTTAAGTCACTCCCCCCACAAAAAATGATAATATCATCAACAATTGAAGGTGGGTCACCGAAATGCTTCTTCTACCCAGTCTCCAACCCTTTATTAGCTCTTGCCCATTTGCTTTTGAGATCAATCTACTAAACACATCAGCAACAAGTGTGAAAAGCAAGGGAGAGAGTGGGTCACCTTGTCTTATGCCTCTACTGGCTAGGAAGAAGTCCTTAACCACCCCGTTCACTAGGATTGAGTAATGATAGGAAGTTAGACAACCACTTATCCAATTACACCATTTGTCCCCAAAGCCTCACCTTCTTAACACCTCTAATAAAAAACTCTAATCCACTAAATCATAAGCCTTTTCTAAATCCAATTTGCACACAAAACCATGATGGCCCAATCTCTTCATTTCCTCCACACTTTCATTTGCTATGAGGACTTGATCTATAATTTGTCTACCCTATACAAAAGCTCCTTGTGCTTGAATAATGAGAGTAGATAAAACTACCTTGATCCTCCTTGAGAGCACTCTTGCCAATATCTTATAGA